GCCTTGTCAGCAGGCCGTGGCTCGATGGCGGTATGGAGAGCATGACGCTGGGGCGGGTGACACATTTTGGTAACCAACACTAGAATGTGCGAACTGCACATGACAACACAAGCTCAAGAGACTGTCTTAAACCGATAAAATAAGGCAGTTATGACCAATCTTTAGATAATATCCGTAGCATTTCGTATGGTCAAGCCAGCCTTTAGGAGTAGCACGATAATTGTTTCACGATTTTTAAAGCCAGCTAGATCATTTAATTGAATACAACAAAAAGTATTTCAAAACCTCTTGTCTTTGTGCCAGAAGACATTACCTACGTTTATTTCTACACAACGGTACACATGTATGGTCTTCCAAAGTTTAACAAATTTTTGTAGTCCGCATGGTGAAAATAATCAGTGTATCATCCATTCGGAGAATTGATTGGAAACCGTTTCGACAGAACACTTTCACGAGAGTGTGCTGACCAAAATTCTGGATGGGTATCCTTAGCCAGGCAGCTATCGACAGAGCTTTTACCTATTTGGATAAAGCTGGCGTATCGCGTACTCGCGCCATCACTAGAATTTCGCAGGAAATATTCCTTTCCTAATAGCCTACGTTAATAAGACATTGCTGTGGATTGAACGTCGACGGCGAGACAACATTACCCTGATCTTTAACCTAAAATGTGCCTCGAAGAGGACACGACGCGCAGCTCTGGTTACAATGACTTTGAGTCTGACTGACAATTTCAATATGACTATGTGCAGAAGAAACATTATCTGAGCTGCACTTCCTGAATCTGTAATGAAGGGGTTGAGTCAGGTCGCAGTGTGACCGAAAATTTTATATACGAAACACTCTTTTAGAAATTGATAATTTAGAGGTCTTTATTATTTGCCTTTTTGCAATATATTGTATCGGGTCTTTCGTTACTTATCATGCCCTAATAGACCTTCCATTAGGGCTCATTGATTTACTCCTCACATAGCGGCATTCTGTCACCTTGAAGCCCTTCCCACTTCCGAAGCTAAGGAAAAGGCATATTGCTGCTCTTAGCTGTACATAAAATTGTGGACAACCTCGGGATCTGAAGCGTTGGCCCAGGTAGCCCGGCCGCCATATCGGCAGTGGTCATTTCAACCAAGGGCAATTGGCCACGCGAGCGGCGCTCCGACTCTAAAAAAAAATGCCGTCACAGCATATGCCCAGGGGCTGTTGGGATCGCGGCGCGGGCGATAACGGCCATTAGATGTTTATGTGTTGTTAAACCAGTGCGTTGTGTCATTCTCCGAGACGGGTACCAGCAAGTGAATTTCAACAAAGTTAAGTTGCCACAATTTCTGCTTCATGGCACAAGGCTTATCTGTCCGTAATTTTGAGGGGAAAAAGTCCCCAAAAAGTCAATTGTGAAAATTCAACCCCTTCAGTACATGAAACTCTGAATTTTGGCACTGGACGGCGCCATTGCATGATTCTTGCTAAGCCGAATAAAAAGCCACTAAACAAACTACTGCTCCCGTTTTTATTTGTGTGTTCTTTTTGTTGTCTTTTCGCGTGTCGTTTAGGTGATTTTGATTAGGAATTTTGAAATGGCTTTCAGCACAAGCACTTTACCTGCATAATTCACCATTGGAGACACGCGAAGCAAAATATGAAACCATTTTTGAAAACGACGGACAGTGTTCCAGTCACAGTCGTTATATGTACACTCGTCCGTAAGTTTTTATGGCACCTGTATAAAAATGACCCAGGTAACACAATGTTTTGGGACAAATAATTTTTTTTTGTTTAGGAATTTATGACTTGGAAACGCCTGAAGATGGGAGATAGAGCCAAACGTGACATTTTGTTACCAGAGTCCGGTTACTTTGACCCTAAATCGCGAAACTAGAGCCAAGGGTAGGCTTCACTGCATGGTAGTTTGGTTGTCATCTAGCATTTTTGGGCCTAAATCGTCAAACCGGTCAAAGGGCTGTGCTTCACTTTGTTTGTTTGGTTTTAAAGTGGAATCTTTCGGCCTAAATTTTAATGTAAGTTCCAAAAAATAATGCTTCACTGCTGGTTGCTTGATTGACAAGTCTTCAACTCAGGTGTGGCACTTTGGCGATGATGCAGGGAACCAAACAAAAACTGTAAGAAAACTAAAGGAACGTACTTGGGCAAACACTAACGCCCTGTAGCAAATCAATATTATGCTTAAACATGGCAATTGCCAAAGTTGGACCAAGTAAAACGTCTCTCTGGCGTGCTGTTTGAAAACTGACTTTATAAAAACAAAAATGCAGTTATTGTGCAGGTAAGTTGTAATATCTCTACCCCAATGATGTTAATCCCAGCCTTAGCCAAAGAAATAATAATATAGTGGTAGAGATAAAAAATTAAAGGGGGCAGAAAATGTCCACCTTACTCTACGTCTTAAGCTCGGCTACTGCGTTTCTTCAATCGCCTTTCTTATATGGCCACAAATTCACAGCCGCGAGAGCAGTTCCTGAGTTTGGGACGTTGTCTGTCCTCATTTTTGCTAGTTCTGCCACTTCAGACTCGTTTTCGCGCTTATATCAACGGTTATTATTTTCGAGGGAAGCTCACCACAGTCGCTGTGGTGAGGCTAAATTCGCGTTTACACATGTTACTTCCAGCGGTCGCGCGACCGACTAGCGACATGCTCAAAGTGACCACTGACGCCCAGATTTTGGGTTATCGGCGAGCGCCAACCGGCGAGTAGCTTCTCAGAAGATATCGATAGCCGCCGTCGATTTTGTCCTTCCCGACACAGCGCGGGTTCGCATTTCACTGCTTTCCCATTTTGTTGGCTCACAGACCACATGCGTCATTTTGGCCATAAAGGAAAAGCTTGTGATATCGGCCTGTGTCCTTGAGAACATCACAATAAAAGCATAATCGGTAAATTAGCGTGCATTAACATCGAGCTTCTGGCTACAGTACATACTTGTCAAGCAAAAAACCCAAGGACGTGCTGCCAGGCCGAGTTATTTTTCGGTGTCTCATTCAAATAAGGTTATTACTTGTAATAAAGAAATTGGTATTCTCTGAAAGTGTTCGAGACGCGACAGAGACCTCCATGGATTTGCATCTTTGACCGAGACGGCTAACCGAGACGTTGGTCTGTTGGACGGACATTGGTTCCATTTACTGCAGAAACGCATGATGTATACGTTCACCTCAGTTTCGGCATATAATTGAAGGCATAAATCTTCGGAGACAGGCGCCCAACGCGGGGCACACGAACGCCGAAATCAGGTCGAGAACAAGCGACAAATTAGAGCACTACAAATTGGATTGTTTTGGCTGAAAACACCTTACAATATTTATACTGGTTTTAGATTGTCTTTCGTTTTAGCCGGGTTGATTTGGTCTGCCTTAAGGATAATTTGTAATCAAGAAGTACTTGCTAAGTGCATATGTTTTACGTTTTTGAATATTTTTTTGATTATCACGCTTGTTAGCCGCATTGGCACGGCAAGTGAGAAACACAAGCTCGCCGCGCTGCGTTGCCAAAACCCTATTCTGTGCACGTTTGCAAGTCCAGCTTCATGGCGCCGCCATCTTGCTCGGTTTGGGTGCGCTCGGACGCGTCCTAATCCGATTACAACGCCTTGCTATGGCTTCGCAATCGGATTATGTCCGCGCCCAAGCGCACCCCAGTGAGCAAAGATTGCGTTGCCCTGAAGGCGGTCTTGCAAACGTGTAACACCTTTTCCAGAAGGGCGCAGCCATCTTGAATGTCGGCCCTTCTGGTATAGGGTAAAACAACGTTTTGATTTCTCCACGTTCCTACGAAAAATGGGTGATTGTCACGCATTCTTGTTTTGCCTCACCTATATTTTCTTAGATATTTCAAGTTAAAATGTTTCATTATTTTTTTAGTTCCGCTTACCACATACGGAACCCACGTGACTGAGAACGAAAGGAAACAGCAAACGTCTGTAAGCCGCCGGCACCAGCCGCATTGCGTTTCGGTTCTCCGACGTCTCACGGGCACTCAAACGTTGGGGCCTCTTATTCTAAAACTCTCTAGTAGCTGCTTGATTGGCCGCATCGCATCTTGCTATCGCTTATACTTTGTTTCATCTCACGATGGACCGCAATGGGCGGCATGAGAGCCATTGAAGCCAATCCAATGCGCTGTAACACGTGACCTACGCAGCCACACGCGGGGAGTGTAGTCACGCGTTGCGTTCGCATCGCTGGGTTGGCTGGGATGGCTCCCAGCTTCCGCTTCGGTTCACTGCAAGGCGAAACGGAGTACAGCTATCGCTAGGTGATAGCTAGCACCAAAGCTTGCACTCCTGATCGTATAAGACCTGTCGCCTATGTGCTGTGAAGAGAGGTAGTAACGTGAAACCACCCCGCGCGATGTCGGGGATGCTCGACATAAAAATATTTTTTTTTGTCTAAAAAAATTATATTTTTATTAGAACTTTGTAAATCACAAGTTATCGAAGCGTGCTCTGATTTGCGTGAACTGGTATATTTTTACCTGCCTCATTTCAATACAAAAGTTCCACCTCAACTCTACCTTGACAGTGCGGCCTCGCGTGGTATCCTGACATCACGTGACATCGTGACGTCACCGTTGTGGAACACAATAACATAACTTCGTTACTTTATGTGAACCATAACGCCACGGGGCACCATGACGCCACGTGGCGTCATAATGTCAGGCTGAGAGCTTTACATATTCAAGAAAACCTGGCATTTTGCCCTTCAGTGGCCTCCATATTTCAAATGAAGGAGCGCGGCCCTATAAGCGCTAAGTATTCGGGAAATGCCTAACAGACAGTCGATTCTCGCAGCCACACTAGGACAAACAGCCAAAATTAAAAAGTAAAAAACAAAACAAAAAAAACTTTCGCTGCATTTAGCGTTGCATTATCGCTGAATGAGAGCCTAATTAACGCTGTATTCAAGCACGTGTTATTGGGAGGCTTAATTTATATTATCTTTCTTCGCTTTGTGCAGTGTGTGAATCTCTCGCTCCGCGTGTTCCGCAGGGTCATCCTCCCGATGGGCAACTTCGAGGAGTTTTCCCGGGCCTTCAGCTGCTCAGCCAACTCGCGCATGAACCTGAGCCGCAAGTGTGTGCTCTGGTGAACGACGCCGCATCGATGCGACGCTGCTACAACACGACACGCCTGTACATACATGCATTTGCAGAAATCTACGCGCTCATACTAACAATAAAACATGAACGCTACTTGCCGCGAATAGCTGGAACCAGTGTCTTTCATCATAGTTTGCCCGCCACTGAGCAAAGCCGTATCACGACCCTGACATGTTCCTGGACACAGAAACGTTTCCTTTCTTTCATTTTGTCATGCTATGGAAGAACTTTTCAAAAGAAGGGCTCCTAGCACAGGAGCGCCTTTTGTTTTACGAAGCGACTAATTGATTGAATCCGACGAGGAGGCAGGTAAGCGGGGCTCAAAAAATATATCCGGCCCAGAAAAAAAAAAGTAGGCTGATTTTGTTTAGCACAGCAGTCAGATACAGCGTCAGCAGCTGGGGCTGACTCAAGCGTCACCAGTAGCATGTCCGAGGTTGCTGACGCGCAAAAGATATAGGATACTTTCAAGAGATATTCAAATCGTCGTGCCTTCCCGAAGCAGCCGACCCCATTGGAGTAGCAACGAACAAATTTGAGTCTATTCGGTGGGCCTTTAGCCTACTCGGCCAACTAAACAATGATCACGCGGCGCACGGCCTGCGCTGATCTTAAATTGGTAGGGAGGCGGTGCTGTAGCATATACAGGTGAAGAAGCGTTCTGCTATCACCGTGCATACTATACATTCCTCCTTACCTACATAATGCTGTTATTATGCGTGATTTGTTAGAATAGTTCGAACAAATGTTTCTGAGGCACAGTCCCTGCACAGGTGCTTCTCATTCTGGTGTGTACCGCTCCGGGGGTCGTCTCCTCAGCGCCGGGTGCCGACGCTGCGGCAAGCTGTCGCAGCTTGTGGCACTCGGCGAAAATTTCGCGTTGCTAACTGCGTCTTCGATGCAGTCTGTTGACGACTAGTCACCAGTGAGTCGGTTGTCCTGTGTCTTCCATTTCAGTTCAGTTGAGTTTAGTTCATCATACCTCAGAGGCATTTCAATGAGTTGCGTTACTTGAGGAGGGATCGCGTAAAGCATGAATAAACAGTAACAGTTGAAGAAGTACACTTTGGGTAATATTAACACTATACACATTATGCACAAAATATAAAAACACAAGTAAGCAGTAAAGAAACCGTAAATATAAGCGATGAAACATTTTTTGGTTATTGAGAAACATTGTATGAGGTAAGCCTCGCACAAAGTACTCAGCTTATACTGGTCAGTTTCAAATACACTTGTTTGAGGGAGAGAATTCCAAGATTTGTTGGCTAGGGAAACGAGGAATTTTGAAATTCACATGATGGTTCACGCGAATAGGGGATTTATTTATTTTAGATTGGGGTGACGACGCAGTGAGGTATATGATGAATGTTGACAGTAATGAAGACTAAGAATGTAAGATTGTGTGAAAAATGATACAAAGTGCAAGTTTAGATCCTTCAATGAGCAAATATCTAAATTTTATTTCAGTAATGTTACGCTTGACGCCCGTGACTAGTCATGAAATATGAATTAAGAGGCTTTGTTTTGAAGTGATTTAAGTTAATGAAATATGTGTGATGAGGACACCCAATTAAGTTAGCGTAGTCTAATTTAGAACTCACAAGAAACTTATAAGCTTTTAGTTCAACACGATATAGGGTAACGTATAGGTTATGTTTCATATATACTAAAGATTTACAAGCGCTAGCCACCATGGGTATTCCAACTCAGAAAATCTTACTCCTAAATATTTCTGGCTTGTCACTTTGTCAAAAGGCAAGGTTAGCAACGTGTAGTGCCGTATTGCATGATTTTTTGACCGGTAAATGCTAGTATTTTGATTTTGGTTTTATTAACCTTCACTTGCCAGATGTGACATCAAAGTGAGGACATAATTAAACCCTGCTTTAATAGTAAATGCTTTTTGGGACCAGTAATACTTCGGTAAATGACACAGTCGTCAGCAGAAACTCCAATTGGAGAAGTTAGATCCAAAGGAAGTTCATTAATACAAACAACAATAAAAGTGCACCCACTACGCTGCCCTGGGGAACACCTGACATGACGGGAGAGTTGGGCGATTTGTTCTGACCAAAATGAACATCATGTTTACGATTACTTAAAAATTCCTTTATCCAGTTAATAGCAGAATTATAAATGCTTCGTTAAGAAGGTTTATACAGAAGTCGTTAGTGAGGAACAGTGTAAAATGCTTTTGAGAAATGATATTAATAGCAGCGGGCTCAAACAAATGAAAGTTGTTGTGGAGGTAAGTAATGGTTTAAAAAAAGCTGTGGCTCCCACGAGTATACATTCCTGACACCCTTTTGAATGTTAAACATCAATTATTTTTTTCATAAGCAGCTAATAATGAGGAAGTAGATGACATGTTTCGTGATTTTTTTCAACGCATAGTAGTTAGCGATCCGAGCCTGTAATTTGAAGAGTCATTTTTGATTCCGGACTTAAATGTAGCTAATACTCTCCCGAGTCTTCAGAAGGCTGGTAGGATTGTCAAGTAGAGGGATTGCTGAAATAGTGGACATCTAAAGGTGGCATAATATCCGTTTAGTTCATTAGAAAATTTTAGGACAAATATTGTCTTTGACAGGAGATTACTTACGGGACAGCTTCTTTATTATGTAAAAAACCGTTTGGTGTAAAGATAATCGGGGCACAGTAAGCGTTAAGCGTTCTGCAGATTTGATCACATGGTACTAATGATTCCTCTAGGGCAAACGCAGCTATAAAATACTTATTAAAAACGGTACGGTCATTTCATGCCAAAAGAGACGCTGCAAGTTTTTTCATGTCTTGGATATGTCAAGAAAAACTAATTTGGGCAAAGAAGCTTCTGAAATCCAAGACAAAAATATATTTGTGAAAAAATTAATTTTCATTTTTGCTGATATCTTCGAAATTTTTGGAAATTGCATAAAACACGTGTAGTTAAAGGGGCACTGACACCCCAAGGGTCGTATTTTTTTATTGTCTAAAACGATGCGAGGTGTAGTCATAGACACAAAAAAACAACAGCAACAAAAAAAAAAACAAGCAAATAGCAAAAAAAAAAAAAAAAAATTCCGCGCGCGCTCGCGTATTTTTGTTTTTGGCGTTTTTCTCTCCCGCTCCTCGTCTCCTCGCTTCTTCTGATTTGTGACGGCCAAAATCCTGAAATTTAGAGGTTTTGTAAGCGACCATTTGTATAAAATTTAGCAACGGCAATCGTTAAACATGTTTTTAACGCAATTGCGAACGTACTACGGCCCCCTTCTTTTTAAAATACCGAGAATCGGAGTCCGTTGTGATGTCGCCTCGTGGATTTGTATCCTCCCTCAGAAAGCATGCCGCCTGGGAAGGCGACACCGTTCGCACGGAATAAAACCGGTTTTTCCCGGTCTGCCTGCGCCCTTATCTCCCGCTCCTCCCCTCCTCGCTTCGAGTCGCGGTGGCAACAGAGGTTTGGAGCACGGAGTCGTAAAAGAAAGTCGACTGGCAGGTCCTCACAATATTTAACGTCAGCGCACTGGCGCAGATTGCGGGGGAACTTCGAATTCGGCAAATTGTAAATTGTTTTTTTGCTTCACAAATACTGAATTCTCAAGTTTGGAATTTTGAGGGTAATGTCCAGGCATTGTTTTCAATCGTTTCGGATAATAATAATAATAAAAGATTTATATGTGTCAGTGCCCTTTTAAGAAACAATTGCGAAAAAAAACCTGCTGGTTACCACACGAACTTAGGTGGGCGCCTAACTACTTAATAGCATACCCTATCATACCGTAAAATATAAGCATTGAAAGTCGCCATATGAGTCCAAATTAGAGATCCAAATATAGAATACTTTGTGAGATTTCCTTATATTTTTAGGCAACTTGAAGCTGGGCGTTAGCTACATACGTTTTTCGTTTCTTCTCATCGAACTAATAGTTGCATTGCATGTGTTAAATGTTTAAAGACCCGTTTTTTTGCGTTTTAATTAAATACCAAATTATCGCGTTTATACAGAAACGGCCTTATGGAGAGCCAGCAAAAGCAATCTGGACATCGGTGTTCGCAACCTTCGAAATAGCCAAAAGTTTAATCCACAACATCTCTTCAACATACCAAAAATCAGAAAAGTACATTTTGTCGTTTGCTGAGAATTTATTGTTTAAAAATTAGCCTTTCCGACCATGCCTCCAGGAGCCCAGCTCGTAGGCGACGCAGGTTGGCGTTCGCCAGCGAAGCGTCAACGGTGTGAAACGCCGCCGCAAGCTCCTCAACGCTCTCCCGAAAACCCGATTTTTTCAGTTCAAAAGTGGACGTTATTTTGCCTTGAATGCATCCGTATCCTCTTTACGTTGCGTAATGATACTGGCGTCTTAAGTTTGCTCTACTTCTGGTCAGGTAACCGCCGACGAGCGCAGGCCTGCATCGTATGCTTCCCGAGTTCACGAATGTCTACATACTGCGCGTCGGCATCGTTCCTCGTATGTCCATATCTAAAAACAATTCAGACCGGACAGCTCTTTACCGATGCGAAATGGTAACGGTTATGTCGCTCCTCTATTGAGCCCAAATGTATTTTGATAAAACATGAAGTGCTACCAGAAGCGGTGCAATGATTAAAAAGACATTCCACTCTTTCTGGCGAACGCATCACACCCCCGAGGTCCCGTACATGTGCAGTATTTTAGGCTCCGGAATACACTGCAGGCCAACAAAACATCTCTCCAATTCTGAACAAATTAGTATTTTGAGAGTAAGTGTGTTTGATCAGAGGTGGGAGTTACGCGGGTGCCGTCTTCGCCATGTGAGCGTCAGGCTCGGCGGACATTAGATGAAGTAATAACCATCGTGGTAAGCCGGCTAATTAAACGATTTGTCGATGAACTTTTTTAAATAATGGTCTCATAGCTGATGTTGCAAGTCTAGTATTGACGTCAATTACTATAAGAGGCTTGACCGATTCACAGACTTTACGAAATGGTAATTGTTTCTTAGATATTAATCGATCATTTTTCGCGTTTTTACTCCAGACTTTTAATACTGCGCAAAAATTTTACCACAAGCCCTGCCCAGAAAGACGTTTAGAAGAGTGGCGTAGGCGTTTTCATGACGTTAACACTATCTCAGCAGC